AAAAAAAAAAAAAAAAAAAAAAAAAAACAATTATATTTATATATAAATATTATTCACTTAAAATATATATATATTATATTATATAATAATTTAAATTTAGCAAAAATCAGTTGTATTTTATATACATATTATATATTTGCATATGTCTGTAGTCTCTACTTCAAATAGTGAGTAAGTATAAAAATAATTTATTAACATTAATCAGTTTTATTTACATTATAAATATAAATACTTATTCATAATAATATTGAATTTGATCTATATAATTAGATAAATGTTACTTATTACTTTATTGAACAGAAAATTTTTATTAGTTGACTATATAAAAAAAAAAAATTTTGATTTCTACTTTGTCAATATAAGCAGAATATGAAAACCAATTATATAAATTTATATGATCTAACTGCTAAATTAAAAAAAAAATTAATTAGAATTATAATAAATTTGTAATTTAATAACAATCAAACATATATTAATTTAAAATAAATAAGATTTCTGATTTTTTTTTTTATTTAGATTAGTATATAAATTAAATACAAAATCTAAATAATTATTCAAATTTGTTAACAGTAAAATTTGAACTCTAAACCTATTGCATAATGGTTTAATAACCTAACCACTATACTAAAATCACTAAACTATTATAAACAAAATTATATATATATTAAATATATAAAAAAAACTACTAATTAATTTTGATCTTTTTTTTTTTTTTTTTTTAGAGAACTGGTTCACTTACCTCCTCTTTTAATATATTTAAACCAAGACTATAAATGATTCATTAAGGTGTATACCTTTCAAAAACAAAAAAAAAAAACTTGCCAATTACAAGAATTTCTTCTTGCCAAGGACTATTGCAAGTGAACTATTCCGAATGCAGATCTTGAAATTATAAAGGGACCGGGTCCCAGGATTTAGGTCGCATATAATAATCATGTGATTTAAGGATCGAGATCCTTGAAAGGATTGGTTAGGATCGGTCGGGATTCGGTCCTAAAGGACTGATACCCAAGCTTCTTGAGTCGAGTCGGACCGGACCTGACTTTTCACATCCCTACCTAAAATTCCAGTACAATATCTTTAATACCTAGTACCCGTCACTTGCAGAACTTGTTTTTAATATTCAATCAGCTATTTTTCGAACATGCAATTGACACAAGCACGCGTGCGAATAAGCAAGCATAAATTTTTAATGGGCATTCGGTGGGGCACTAACTAAAAATGTAATATGCATAATGCCAGCCATAAGTTTCAAATCTGGAATTGCATTACATATAATCTAAAATTGCTTTTTTTGATTTTATTATCGTTATTATAAAATTATCCTCTCATGATGTAACGGTAAATTAATTTTTTCCTTTAACATTTTTTGCCACTAGTCCTCATATTTCGCGAAAGATTCAATAATGAAATTTCTGTAGATAATGACAATTTAATGGAGGTATTACAATAATATTAGCAATCAAAATTTTTTGCTGGATTATTTGCATGAAAAAGGACAAAGGCCTGCGAATGAAGTTGCACTAATTAAAGTTCATTGGATTCTTATACTATAAAAATTTAGGCTGGGTTTGTTAGAACAGATTATGTAAGCTTTTTAAAAAACATTTGATTATGTTAAATCGAACGGATATGCATGCGATTCGAAACTTCTGTTCCAGAAAAAAAATTCAACAAATCAGATAATTGAATTACGTACTTGACACGTGTTAAAGTAGATGATCATTCCTTTCTTGTCCTACAATAAGGATTTTATAACCTCGTGTAACATAAGTAACAATAAATATCTCAAAGTAAGCAACAGAACTTTAATCTTTTTAGTCGATTTTCTAACCATTGAGTCCTACGAAGTAATTTAATTAGGTTTCAGAAATCATTTTAGTTATTTTATAACTTGCTTATTCATGTTTCCCTTTTATATTAGCATTGATGTTACGTATATGCGTACGTACGTTCGTGCAATTTTTATGTAAAGGTCTGCAGAAAGTTTTGCTAAAGTAGGTAGGCTAACTTTTAATGTTACTTTAGAAATGAACGTCACAAAAATCTACCGGGTCTCGGATAACATATAGGTTGTATGAATAGCATTAAATGAATTTTGTACGCACATACGTACAGTACAACGCTTTGAAAAACAGAAAAAAAAAAAAAAACGAAATAAAATTAATAATATTAATTAGGAGTATATTAAATATTATATATAATGTAATTAATTTGCTTTACAATTAATGGATTATCTAAGGAAGAGTTTTCGGATACGTATAATGATGATTCGAATACAGTACACATTTATACCAAGTATTATGTTGATCATCAGATAGCATACAATAATAATAAACAATCCAGCTTATATCTTGTATAATGACATTGTCTAACTTGAATGCGCTTTTATTTGGTTTAAGGTTTCTTGGGTGATCAATTGAAATAAAAAAAATCATTCTTTTATTGGGTAAGCTTTAATTTGTTCGATAATCAATTATAGTTTAAATCTACTAAATCGTTATATATCTTTTGTTACGGTAAAGATTCAAAGCATTAAAAATTATCAGTCAAGAAAAGACGATCTTCAAAGTACATTTGGTTTTGGTTCCATAGACTTTTAATTTCCGAATTGCATCGTAATTTTTTAGTATAATTAAGTAGCAATGATGTCCACAGCCAAAGTTATAAAAGATCTTTCAATAAATCTTCACCTAACAATGCCACCAAGCAATGCATCATTTACAATTCACTTAAAAGAAGGGCAATTACTATTAGATACGGTCAGGCATTTTATGGATGAAAACAATATACCATGCTACTTGGAAATATCGATCATGTCAGTTATAGATTCGTTGATGGAAGAGAGTCGAAGAATAAAATTGGAAAAGGATATAAAGAGTATGCAAAAGTGCTTGGTCTCATGAATACTAAATTGTTATTCGAACTTTTATATCTTCATCTATTCTCTTTCTGGTTTATTATAGTCAATGACGAATCTAAGGCAAAAACAATTAAAGAAGAGCTTATTGCCAAATATCAAAAATATACAGTTCGATTCAATGATACACCTTCAGAGGTAATTCAAAATTTTTTACCATAATTTATATGTCATTGACGTAGCTAATTGTTATTTTTTTTTATTCTAAACTATAGAATATTTTCCCTAAAGCTTTTCATACTTTAGTTCATTCTCCAATTCCTTCTATTTTTGATACTTTATCACAGTTGGAGCAGGATTACAAACATTCAATCAAAGAATCAATGATATTACGTGAAAAAGAAAAAGCAAATATTGACGAAAGGTGCGTATTCAAATATTAAGTCTAAGTCTAATGTATTTTTTATTTTATATTGTATCGTATGTATAAGTTATTTATATTTCTTTAAGACATCTGAAAGAAAGGGAGAAGTGAGTATTCAAATATTAAGTTTAATTTTACTTTATGTTTAATATTTCAATATGGTAATAATTAAAATAATAATAATTTTTTTTTTTTTAACTCTTAAGGCATCAAAAAGAAGTAGAAAGCATGGTCGAATCTGGATCTGCCGATGCTGGTTTTGCAAAGTTAATTGAAAGGCAAGTCGAGGTAAATTGTGTCTATTGTGTTAATAAAGCATTTCGAGTTAAAACTGATGCATATCTTATCTTTTTTTTTCTGCCTAGGAATCTGAGTTTAATCAAGCAGCATGGGAAAGTGAGCTTGAAGAAATCCAACGAACTCAAAAATGCGAATATTGGGATTTTGTACTCAAACTTTATGAGGAACATCAACGTTGCTTGACAGAACAGCAATCATCTACTGATCCAGTATGTTTATCTCGGTTGGATGGAAAAATGATTGTATCAGAAGTTATATCAGATATGAAAAATCAAAAAAAAGTGTCGAAAGAACTTTTAAGACTTACACAAGGGAACACGACACGTAGCCGTCCTGGAAGTATTGGTTCGATGTCAGAAATGATGTTATCGATGACTCCACAATCACCCGTATATGCAAGTCCTTCTGAAGAGAAGAAATTATTAATGTTTGCCGTGCGTATTAGATTTCTCTTTATGGAGTAAATATTACTTGTAATTTAACATCAAACATCATCGTTATCATTATATTTATAAATTTTTATTGAAACAGGCAGAAGATGATCCTGACGTTTTACAAATAAAAGAAATGGGATTTAGCAGTGAACAAGCTACAGTTGCTCTTGAAATGACTAATAGAGATAAGGTACTTATTTAATATTCCATAAGATATTTGTTTAAAACAACACAAATTTCAAAGAATTTTATAAAATTTCTCATTAGGAACAAGCTATAAGTCTTCTTCTTGATCAGGCAGGCAAAGTTGATGCACAAATAGCGCAGCGTCGCCCTTCAGTTCCCGTTATTCCAGCCCCTAAAGAAACATCGGTTCCACATAGGCGTTCAAAATCTAATAGCAAACCACTAGTTTTGTCTGTACTTACAAAGCAAGAGAAAAAAAATAATGTATGGTCTCCTATGTCATTTATACAACAACAGAAGTCTAGTATGATGGCAGCCCAAAATAATTCTTCAATGAGAAAATTTAGTGGGTGGCTAGTAGGAAAAGCTATGGAAAATTTTGGGCTTGAAGATGATGAGTATGTATAATGCGTGCCTACCTTTTAATTAACCACTTTATTAATCATTTAATTTAATAATAAAGAACTCTTTCGAGACATGGTCCGGTAATGCAGTTTGATGATGAACATCAACTTGTAGAGTCATTTACAATTTCTCTTGGCAATCAAGTGAAATCAACACATAATCTTCGTCTTTTGGCATCTGATATTGATGACTTGCTTAGGTCTTCCAACGACCAGGCACGTGATGTTGCATATAGGGCACAAACTGCTGCTGACCTGTATTCTCAAAATTTGACAGCAATTGTTTTGTTATTGACGCCCAAAGATTGGCCAAATTATAAACTTGGAAAAAGTGCTAATAAAGGTACTAGTATAATTCGGAGTTCCGTAATTGTAAAAATACTTTCACTAACACAATAATTAATAATAATTTGTATTCTAAAATCATGAAATAGCATTTTTTGAACGATGTAAAGAATCCACAGAATTTCATTTTGACAATGTTGAAAATCAATTTGAGGCCATTGAAAAAGACTTTATAGCTTCTGAGTCTGATGGTGTAATTCCTGTGAAAGAAGGTAAGAAAAATGTTTTATTATTTTAATTTATGGATTTTTTTTTTCTTGTATCTCATATTTAAATATCATTTTTTTTAACAAAATTAGGCGACTTTTTTATTACAAAACATTCTAATCTACCACTAGTTCATGTGGCGTTCCATTTGGTCATAGATTTTGAATGTAAGCTTATTTCTTTATAACATTTATGTCTACAATTTCATTTATGAATCAATATTACACAAATAACCTTTAAACTATTATTTTAATAAGCTATAATAAAATCAGAATTATCTTACAACTCAAGGGCAGTTAATGGCTTACGTAATATACTACGAACAGTAAGTCGCTTCGACATCTCGAGTATTTCTCTACCGTTATTACTACTTCCATCGAATGTAGATTGTTTTTCAGATTCCTCCATTACAGAAAATGTTTTACATAAAAGAGCTGAGCTCGTTCTAAAATGTATAAGAGGATTTATGTTTGAGAATTCTTGGATACCTAAGTGTAAAGCCGATGAAGAAGATGGGACAAAAACTGTAACATTTTTGTTGCCGAAAAATGTCAATGAACAACAATTTCAATCTCATAGACTGCAGTTGACAGATAATTTTAGGGCCAATTGAGTGATAAATGAGTCTGATAGTTTTTATGGTTTATTTAATATTGTTATGTAAATATTATATTTGATTATTTTTTATATGTTTGTGATTTTATCATATTTTTTAGTCATTTATTTTCAAGAAAATTAGTTTTGCACAGTAGTGATCCAAATCGTTTGCTGAACAACTAATCGATTAATCATCAATCTAGTTCAATTCCGAAATATTCCGTATATTCGGGCTGTTTCGTGTTAATTTCTCTAGTTTGATTGGCTAATCATATAGTGATTATCATGTGATATGAAAAATCGATTAGTCGCAACTATAGTTGGTCGGAACACTATTAATAAGTAGTAGTACTTGTTTCAAAATTTATTTTATAATTGTAAAATTATTATTGCAATTTTTTTGTTTATAATAAACCATTCCGTTATTCAATATAAAGATTTTAATATTTTTACCACTTGTCATATGACAGTTGTGTGGCACTCAATAATATTGATACGTGAACTTTGAACATTATATGTTAAATATCATCGTCATAGTTGTACTTTATAGGAGAGGAATATGAATAGTAAAAGTTGGAGATTAAAATTCTTAACTATTATTATTGTTTTAGTCAGTTGAATATGAGATAAGCAAAAGAGTAAAAGAAGGCTGTGAAAAGGTGAGTAAATTGTTTTGGTTTTGGTTTTGTTTATTTCTAATTATTCAACATTTTAATCTCTATCGGTTATTTATTAGTAATCACTCAAATAAATGTAACAATATATACGGTATATATATAACTTAAAATCCGAATGCTTTATTAATATTACAATGGATATCTGACTATTTCAATTTCGCGAATATTTTTTTGATATATCCATTGGATCAAGCTCAGGTTGTTCAGATCATAGTGACGATGAATGTATTGATGACGGTGAATTATGACTGAAAGCTTAATACTGTACTAAGTTTAAGTAATTTTGAAGTTCATTTAATATTAATAATATTAATAATGTAAATAACATATTAATATATCTGATATAAATAAATTATAAGAGTATATGATTAACTTTTACTTCGTTGTCTTTAATAAAACTTGTAAAAAAAATTAATGCCCGTCTTCTAATGAAAGCTTTAGTGAAAGCTCTAGTAGAATTCCTTTGATGGATATCAGATATTATATCTACTACACTTATGTTAAACAACGATCAGTCTAATAAACCAAGGTTCAACAACATGAATATGGGATCATGTGGAGTGTCCCCTATTAAAAGGACCAATTTTTAAAAAATTTTTTTATTTGATTTTTTTTGATAGATACATATTTAATGAAAAGATTTGCTATAGGTCACAAGAACTGATTACACGTTATAGTGAACTCTCAATATAGTGAAGACTAATTAAAATCTCGATATAGTGAAGTTAAGCTCAAAGACAGTCTATATAAATTCTCTCGATATAGTGAATTTACTAATAAAGCTCTCGATATAGTGAAATTTTTATTAATGGAACGGATCACTTCACTATAACGAGAGTGACTTGTATTTAATAAAAATCTGATTTAACTCAAAATTATCAAAATATAAAAATGGGCCCTTTTAATACTGTAATAGGGACACTCCATATCACGGCTTTACCTAGAAATCGTGGATCCGAGGGTCAGTGTGAAGTATAACATATAATTTATGTAATTAGCAATAGCCACTTTGAATTATCATTTATTAAATGTGGTATTTTACAAATAAATAATTTTTATCTTTAATAAAATAAATATTTTTATTTCGACAAAAAATTTTGATTCAGATAGAAAAATCAATGGATTAAAAAAAAAAAAAATCAGTCCGGATCTAAGCACTAGCTGAAAGGAATGTATTAACAAATTTTTAATATTAGCTAAAAAGAAATGTAATAACAAATGAAATATAATCTATATATTCTCGGATAATTGATTTAATTATTATACTGAGCAACATTTGTTTTTCTGATTCTTGATCAAAAGAATGTAATAATAAATCGAATACAATCAATGTAATTGATTTAATTATTATATTGAGCTAAATAATTCAAAATTTGTTTTTCTGATTCTTGATCAAAAGAATACTGAGACTGAACTAAATAATTTAAATAACTTTTCAAGATTAAATCAATTTGTTTACTTTGTTTTTCTAATTCCTGTGCATAGGAAATTAGCAATCTAACATCAATAAGAGGGGGGGGAAACAAATTAAGAGAATCTGTACTGTAGGAATTGTTATTCGATAAAAAGTTTTGTTCATTATCGTGCATCCGTTGAATAACAGAATTAATTCTAGTCGGGAGAGGAACAGGAACAGAAGTGTCTGGAATATTAATGCTAGATGGAATATAATAACGTGCATCAAATTGATTATATTGTTGAGTAAAAGGATCAGCGGATGGTGTGTCAATATTAGGTGAAGGAGAATATTGGAAATGTGTCATTTGAATGGAGGAATCGGAGTCTTGTACATTGATATTGAGCGGGGGAAAGCTGCGAACATCAAGGGAACTCAGATTACATAAAGCCGTATTGCTAGTTTGGAAATGAGTTGGTTGGATAAAAGGATCGGTGACTGAAGCATTAACACTAGCACTAGTTGGAAGTGAGAAGTGAGCACCAACAGAACTTGAATCAAAATGATCCTTATTACTAGATTGGGGATCCATCGGTTGAATAAATGGGTCATTGTCTGAGACGTTGATGTTGTTGATGTTCGGTGAAAGAATGGTATGGGTATTAAGAGAATTATCAGGGGGGCGAATGCTAGAATGATCATCAAGTGAGCTCAAACCGTGAATGTTAGAATGATCATCAAGGGAGCTCAAACCGTGAATGTTGGAATGATCATCAAGGGAGCTCAAACCATGAATGTTAGGATATGCATCAAGGAAACTCGATCTATGGTTGTTGGAATGATAATCGACATTGCAATATTTATTTAAAGCCTCCTTTTTAACGGCACCATAAATACGATAATTCAATTTATGTCCAAGAGCTTTATGATGGGCCTTAATGTTCGTTAAATAAAATTTTAAGGTTTTAGCTTTTACACGATCCACTTCAACTTTGTAAATTAGGTATTCCCTCAGGCGATTTACTTTTATTGGAAAAGCTGATTCGTTGTAGGAATTTTTTATATATGCAATGAAGTTTAATACACCATTCCTTGTTATTGTTTTTTCCGGATTTTTTCCTTCGCGAGCCATTTTAAAGAAAAAACGGTAAACTTTTATTTTTGTTTAAAAAAAAAAAAAAAAAAAAAAAAAAAAAAAAAGAAAATAATAATAATAATATATATATATATAAATTCAATCTTAATTTATTATTATTTAGAAGAAAAACCGTCTAAAAGAGGGTGATTTTTGGCCTTTTTTTGTTCGTTTTTTGTTTTTTTTTTTTTTGTTTTTTTTTTTTTTTTTTTTTTTTTTTTTTAAAAAAAAACGAATGTAGTTTTGTACCGGGATGGGGTTAACCAAATACCGGTACCGGAGCCAAACAGCTCACTAGTTGAAGTGGATCTTAAAGTGGTAGACTTTAAAGTGATAAACGCTCTCGAATATGACATTGTATATATATGATTTTTTCATCATCGTGAACCTCTATATTTCTAGCATTAAAACATCTTGAATTTGTTATTTGTTTACGTGAACAGTGTGGTCATCTGTAATCATTTGTATTAAACTGTACAGGAAAAGACAGTTTTATACTACAGTAAAATTTTGGCGACAAAAATTATTGGTTATTATGTAGCCTATTTATAGGGTTTAGCCAGTTTGATATTTTCTTTGTCGGTGAAACAATAACGATAAGTTTATTTTTATTGGTTGATCAGCAAAAATTCTGACTGGCTAAAATTAAATATTAATTTTATATTGTCACTCTCGATACTCTTTATAGCTTTTGATACAACGCTACATAATATAACTTGCTCACGTGAAGTTTGAACCTTTTACTTCAAAGAAATAATGATTTTCTATTAGTTATTCCGTTTTAAAAGTTAGAAACATAATGTAATAACTTTATATTACCTACTAGCATTGCCAGAATGGTCTCTAATAAAAGTTGGTGGAACACTATCCCACTCGATCCCAAATGCTTATTGACGATATGTTTCTAAAATATAATTTTCCAAAATTTTTATATTTCTATTTAAACAATATAAAAAATCTGTGTAACAATAACATTTTAATTGAAAATAAATAATCAATAAAAATAAACCTCTACACCCTGCCCTGTCAAAAATACTGAAATACCGGTAATTACCGACTGAAAATTACTAAATTTACACTGTTTATACGCGGGTGTTATTTTTAATTTATGTAAATCGAAAATAAACCAATTTTATAAAAAAATAAACCCTGATTAAGATTAGGGTTAATGTGAGGCCTGGGATTTTATCTAGGCATTTGATATATGCAAATTTAGCAATGATTTTTTTTTTATTAGAGCTCCAAAAGCAGTTTCATAGGCGAAATTTTGAGATATTGATTATACATGTATATGTACACTAGTGTACAAATAGAAATTCTCTTACCGATTAACCCAAATCGTTTAATCTATAAATCATATCGATATAGTTTTTGATAACCAATAAAAATTAGTTTATCAGATTTATCAACCTCTGTTATAATAATTATATAAGCAGATTTGTTTCTATATAATTATTGAGAATTCATTCTCTGATTAGTCAATTTGTTTAACGTAATAATAAAAAGTGATACTTAAGAGTAGATTATTTTTATTATGATTTGCATAGTAAATCTTATTTTTGGTAAAAAATGAATATATGCATATAATAATAAAATTTGTATAATATATATATTAAAATAGAATATATCTTTTTATAAAATTTTAAAGTATATTAATTGTACTTTTATATAATATGAAATTTTCTTAGGTTATAAAATAACCTATTTTAATTAGCTAATTTTTACAGTTCTATAAGATAAATTTCATAATAAAAAATTATATATAATCTTTAAATTCTAATATTTTGATGAGTTTTTAACCAATTTTAGTAATTTTATTACTAATAGAATACAAGAACCTACTTTACAATTTTATTTAGAAGTTTAAAATAAATTTAATTAATAAATTATTTTATATTTTAAATTAAACAATATTTGTTATTAAATTTATATATAATTTTAAAATTTTATACTATACCTTTAATTTTTTGAAGCTATCAGATTTTTTTCAATATTGTAGTATAAAATTTTGTATTTATATTCAACAAAACTTAGTTTTAAAAATCCTAAAATAGTTTTTTCAAATTCTAAAATAGGTATAACTTTACTAATAATAATATTAAAAAATTTATTGTAAAAAAATATTGAACTATATATACAAACAATAATAAAAAAGTTTATATATATATTAATATTAGATTTTTATTTAAAGTAATATGAAGTCTAGTTACTTCAAATTTAAAAATATAATTTATATGACAAATCTTATTAGTAAAAAAATATATAAAAATAAATGATTTAACTATATTAGTTATAAAAGAAGTATTATATTTTTTTATTTTTTTAAAAAAAATATATTATAACAAATTTATTTATTTAGTAAAACTAATAACTATTTATAAAAAAATAAATAAAAAGAATTTAGCAATAGGTTACAAGTAGAATATTAAAATAAAATTATATAAAAAAAATTATTTAGTTTACTTAATATAGTTTGTTAATATATAATATATTTTATACTATTTATAGTATAAGAATATTAATTAAAAATTCTAGATTGCAAAACTTATTATAATTAATTACTAAAAATTTTTTTTTTTTTTTTTTTTTTTTTTTTTTTTTTTTTTTTTTTACTTTAAACAATATAGTATTAGCTGAATTTTTATTGGTATTAATAGTAAGAAATGATTATATATTGTAAGAGTACAATTAGCCAAATGTACAACTTTAGATTGTTTAATTTAAGTAGTCTATCTGAAGGTTCTACACTAGTTACTATATCTGAAATTTATTTAAAAATTCTTTATTTAAACTCTTTGGCTATATGCTATTTTATCCATATTCTATTCTTATTTTATCTAAATTTGCTTAATCCTGTACTACTTTCATTTTTAAAAGATATTAACAAAGTAACATATGTTCATAAACTTTATAATTCAGAGCTTAGGCTCTATCTTAAGATACTTTTTTATTAACTCCCTAATCAATAGGTATAGAACTCAACTATATTATACTATATTCTAATCTAGCTTGCATATACTCTTGTTTGATATTCATACAAATCTAGTTTCTACTATAGCTTTCTACTAGATTAGTTATTTGTACCTTCAGATATTATATGAAATAGATCTTTCCAAATTCAAAAGTTGGTATTGCTTATGCCTCCAGATATCACATAAGACAGATTTTTTCAAATTTAGTTAGCTGCTAAGCTAAGTTAGTATTATTATATGATCTTATATAACAAATTTAATTACATTTGCTTACTAATCTTTTCATATGCAGGACTTATTCGCATCTATTTTACTAATTTTTTCATATACAGATTTTCTTTTTTAGATCAAATATTAACTAGTATAACTATTAAAATCTATACTATATTATCTAACTTAGAATTTTTGTTATGCAGATTCTCTACTTATAGATCTTATTAAGATTTATTTATATAATATTATATTTCTCAAGTATTCTATCATACTTCTAATATTTAAATAATATTAGTGCAAGATGATTTACAGAGTTACAACTTTTAGAAATGAACAGAGGTTATTATAAGTTGTATACAAAGATTTAAATAATTATTCATTTTTGTTGATAGTAGAATTTGA